CTACTTCGAGCTAATTTCATGAAATTTCGTATCTGGGGATTTTTTGGGATGAAAAACTCGAATTTATCGACAACTTAGAAGATACAACGAAATAGTCGATTAATTCGAATTTCTCATCCCAAAAAACCTCAAATATTAAATTTAAGGAGGTCTGATTTGGAATTGACAAATATTCATAAAAAAATAATATAAGCTTATTAATAATGAAGAAAATCCTCAAATAAAATTATGACTAGTTTGGATACCTAAGAGACGAGATATTAATAAAATAATTTTTCACGATTTAGTATGAAGTCTTATGAGAATACAGATTTTTTTGGTCTTTCCACTTAGAATGCGCAACAATTGACGAACAGTTTCCACATCAACTTGTGTAAATAGGAAACCGATATCTGAGAAACCGTATGATAGCTCGTAGAAATCGATTAGGTACTTGTAAGAAACATAATTTATAATAATTCTCCTTCAAACTGCTGTCGTTGACTAACTTATCCTCCATATGCGTGATAGCGGCAACGCAGCGGTCTCGACTAGCGTATTATTTGAAATTTGCAGGTGTCTAAGCAAACAGAATGATGATCGAACGCGTGCGAGAGAACGCCGAGGCGAGCGAGCCAGCCAAGTGCAACGTTAACAAATCTAAAGGCTTACTACTTTAGTCACTAGCGAATCTACAGAAACTCTCATTAGACTTTAGATGTACCTCCGTACCTGATAAACCTCCTTAAGTCTAAAGTCTAAATCGTGAAAAATTATTTTATTAATATCTCGTCTCTTAGATATCCAAACTAGTCATAATTTCGTTTGAGGATTTTCTTCATATTAATAAGCTTATATTAATTTTTTTATGATTATTTGTCTGTCAATTCCAAATCAGATAAACCTCCTTAACGAAATTAATTCGAAGTATCGAAAGATATTAAAAAAATTATTATATATTATTTATTTTTTCAACACCCTGTAGCTCCGTTATTATCAATTTTTGGATTTAAGCAAGTTTAGTTAAATCGACTTATTTTGAGTTGTACCTACCCTGTACAGCCTTTTTTTTTCAATTGGTAATAAATTTGCCGATTCTTGCCGATACCTGGATCATATTGACTATAGTGAAGAACCTGATAGTGACATTCCTGACCTCAATAATATGCTTATTATTGACAACCATCTAAGTAAGTAATATTATTTTTACTTGAGATATTGTCTATAAAAAAATAGCCAACCTTCCTAACAACTAATAGATAATTGTCTAAAAACGATGTGCTAAATCACTTTATTTCACATATCTATCCTTATCGAAAATTCTTTTAATTCTAGCATTATTCCGATGTTTCGGAAAACGTATTTGCTATCAAAAAAGATAAATTCAATAAGGAACATTATATCGCTAAGTCAGTTTGTCTACTGAAGTAAAAGTACTGAAAATAATAGGCAATAAGAAAGATTCTATGATTTTTTTTTTCTTCCTGAACATAAAATTACACTGGATAAACAACATGGATTTCCTTGTAAGTCTACAGCTACAAATACTCTGTCCTGAATGAATCGACCCTAGCGGTTGATGGAAAAAACACATTACTGTGATCTACCTGTATTACTCTAAGGAATTTGATGAGATATCCTTAAAGCGTTAAGTTAAAAAACTGCAATATTATGGAATAAATGATTTTCTCCTTGCACGGTTATCTGACTTTTTTAGTAACGTAGATCCAGAGTCAAAGTAGGTAGCAGCTTTCTTAATTTAAAAATGTTAGAATTGGTGTTCCTTAAGGCTCTCATTTAGGACCCTTATCATACTTGATATATACATCTGATTTACCTGCTATGTTAGTTTCCAAATACTCATCCTATATGGGACTATGACTCTACAATTTGGTTCCTGAAGTTGCTGTGTAATCGTAAATTTATTGAATCAGTCTAATGTGCCACAAAAAGACCACAAATTTAAAAAAATGTTTCTTACTTTACGTATAGATATCACTGCTACAGATCGGGTATTGCAGAAGTTATATTTCGTTGATATAGGCGAGATCTTTATTATTAACAATGATGTATGTTCGTGCTCGTACCTATAAACTGTCTCACGATTTTCATTATCTCCTAGAGGATATTTTTTGCACAACCGAGTTTACCAGTTGTGGAATTCATTATCCAACTATGCAGTATGCATACTTCGATCGGTAACATTAAAAATCTTCTGGGTTCTTTATTGTCTACTACTTTGTGACATTGTTTTAAACGTACATATATTTCTATGTATTCTGGGTTTTTATCATTTTGTATTATTTATTGCTGGGTACAGGTACGTTGTATTGAAATATCGGAAATAAAATAGCGCAAATTTTAATTCTAGTTCGATTCAATTTAGTGAAATTTAAATCCGTACCGTTTATTTTTTTAAGTTTCAATCCACTGCTTCAGAGCGGGTCGAAATCTATAAGATAAGTATAGACTGTGACTCGATTTTTGAGCCAAATCGACTGGAAGACATAAAATTTTTACGGCAGCTGTACTTGGTAATACTGTAGTCGGTTGCGTATTGTTTATTTTATCAGCATGTAGAAATTGATTGAGAACGATTTGAATGGATTTCTCTAATTAAAGGATATCCCAAGGCTCTATCCTTGGTCCTCTCTTGTTTTTCCTACATACATTGAATCTTTTTTACTAAATTAGTTATGTTAACACTTGCAAAATTATCATGTATGTAGACAACGCACAACTGTCTCATTCACCCCAAATAATGTTGAACCAGCTGAAATCTAGATTCGTTCCTGCTGTATTAGTAGTTCTGAAAACAAGTACAGAATTTCACAAATTATTTTGTTATATTTCATATCTCCAGTCAGGACTATTAAATTCATTCCCTAGAGATGAATCCAACGGGCCCCATTCACATCTCTACGATTTCGAAAAATTCACATTGACAATTTTCAAACATTTATTAGTACCACGTTAGATGTAAGACAGTAAAAGGATGATTTCTTGTTTTCATTACAACCATCTCAATTTCTGGAATGACGCCCATCTGAACAATTTTAAAGATGTCAAAATGTAATTGGAATATAATTACATTCTAATTGATTGAATTCCAATTGGGTTTCTTTTGGGTTTCAATCCATCACAAAATTCAACTTAAACCTTTATTCCATTTATATAAATTTTTATATAACAGTCGGAATTCAGAAAGTTTAATCCAAAATGATTTTAGTAAAACACAGTCCTTAGACGGAAGTTAAATTGAATACGATTCAATTCATTTTGACATTATTCGAAATCTTGCAAAGTCGCCTTGCTTGTTTGGATTTTATCGTTTCTAAGCTGTTTATAAACAAGGGTATATGAAAGTTGCAATTTTGCTGGTTTTGAATTATTATTTCTAAATGAGTGATTTTCAAATAGAAAGTGCAGCAAATGCAGCCTGCGAATTTTTGTTGCCCGAACAAATATACTGGGGTTTCTGAAATGTCACTGCTAGCATATTCCATGAAGAAGTCAAGAACTTTAAAATCACCGGCGAGTTTGTGGAGTGAATACTCAATTATTAAGTCAACTATTTCCATAGAGGATAACATGGATATATCAAAATACCCCACGCTGAGAGCATTTTTGAAACGTAAGAATTACGGCTATACACCTAAAAAGTCAACAAGAGAGCAAGTCAACGGTTTTCTCGTTCAGGCATCCGATAACACATATTTGCGGTAGTAGGTAGTGACGATCTTAGGCATTGCAAGAGCATGCCGTTCCGATGAACTATGCAAACTTATTTTGGACGTCAATTTCAAAAATTTCGATGACATGATTGTAGTTACAATTCCAGATTTTAAAAATGGTATGTCACGTACGATTACTTCTCATCTGGGTTCTGTTTCTCACCTGGAAATTCTCAAGAAATAAGTATATCAAGATTAGATTGGAAATTAAAACTGAAATTTCACGCTTTTTTACAACCAACCAGTCGGCAAGAATACCCTTTCTATGATTTCTAATAAGATTGCGCAGTTTTTGAAACTAGAACATCCTGAAATATATACAGACCATTCATTCCGAAGAACATCGGCAACGTTACTGGCTAATACAGGAGTTGATGTATTAGCAATCAAGAGACATGGTGGGTGGAAATCAGCCACAATTGCAGAAAGTTATGTTGCTGACAGTTTAAGTAACAAAAATAAAATAGCTAACAGAATTCTTTACAATGACACTTCAACTCCAAGTTCTAGTAGTACGTCGCATCATGCTGTTTTAATGGATCCATCAGATAATATTGAGCCTCCGGTGACTGAAATGGGGCTTTCAAATCATTTTGAGAAAAATGTGACAATTAGTAAACGCGAGGGGAATAATTATCCAGATTTTATAAATGTTACTAAATGTAATAACTGTACAGTTACTATAAATATTGATTCATAATGATTAATAAAATGTAATGTTCATTAAATATTTCTATTTATTTGTTCATAAAATATGCATTTTATGAACAAATCGCTTTTTTCCCTAGGGAGGTAAGTTACCTCACTTACATAGCAACTTCCATTTCTACGGTAAAATACACTTGCTTCATTAAAAACAGTTTATCAATAGTCTATTTACTATAGTGGAATACATAAAATTTATTTAAGCTTTAGCAACAATGCCGTTAGAATAATTTGTTAAAAATTGATATAATTCCCTACGAACGGAATTCGCATCCAATGTAACCTCCGCCTTAGTCCTCAATATAGTAAGCATCCAACCAAACTCAATTACAACTGGAATTCCACTGGAATTATATTGGAATCTAAGCGGAATCTAATAAAACTAATTGAAACCCTGAGCCCTGCAGAATTCCGAAAATAAATATTTCCATAATTTATATAATTTGCCGTTTATCCTGTAGAAAGACGTCGGGCCTACATTTTAATACCAGCTGTATCTTTATTGCTTCACTAACCCTAATCTCCCTCCAATATTTCTCAAACTTTATCGAGACAGCCCACTGAGACGTTCATATTTTTCAGGAGGATTCCATCCAACACCCACATCTGATATTCACGGATGAGGATAACATGGACGTGAACCACTACGAGGCCGTGGTAACCGACGGGGAGGAGGAAGATTTATTGCGGCCCATCTGTAATAAACACCGGGACACGAGGAACGGGAACAGGACGGCCATCCACTGCCGTACGTACACGCTTATATGTAGCCAGTTGGGTCAAACGTTTCTCGAAAGTATCTCGGTGAATAATGAAGTGGGACAGGCGGAATATGAAAAGTATTGGTCTTTAAAACTCGACGACATATTTTTAACCACCTTGAAAGGAAACATATACATGGTGCTTCGAAAATGTCATTACAAATTCCTATCTCAATTGTAAAAAAAATCATTTACTTAATATTATTATTGAATTTTTTTCAATACCTAATTCTGCTAGTTTTTAAATATATTTCAATGACATTTTATGTTGAAGGTATTCAGGGTAGCCGAAGATAAACATGGTAGTTACCAAGTGGATTCAATGAACAAAAAAAATCGACCTCTTAGATTTTGAAACTTTGGGATGTTAATCTGCTTTGAATTTTACGAGACCCGTGTTTTTGGAACTCTGTGGTGCCATGTCAAAGTTTACATAATGATAACGTTACTACGAAAAGGAAAATGTTGTTTTCAAAATGTGCACAATTTTATCAGCTTTTATCTTTTTTTTTCAGAGTTCAAATTGTTTTAAAACTTTCAGAGATAAATGAGAAAAACGGAAAAAAGTAATTTTTTTTCAAATTTGATTTTCTCAAAAACTCCACTTTTTATTTTTACCAAATTTGGATATTGGTGATTCAGAACTTATCCAAAAAAAATTCTGGATGTACAGGGGGCTCTTACAAATACAATTTTGTAAAGAAAAAAATCAAAAAGTCCTTCAAAAATGATTAAAAATACACTTGTGCAAAGCACTGGAAACTTGTTCAACTGTAAAACCTGACCTGGCATAATTTTAGCATCACGGCGGCAGTGATAAAAACGGACAAAAACTTGAAAGAATTTCTTAAGGAAACGAACAAATAGAATTTTATAGCACCTATTTCATATCGGCAAATGCAACTGATTTTGCCGCTATTATTATTATTAATTAATAAAATGAATTTAAAGTTTTAAATAATAAAATAATTTGACTTACCTGATATTACAACAACTGTTCAAAATTTTTTCCACCGACGTGTAAACACATTTGTTGGGTCTGTCTTATTCAATTTCTACGAACTAACACAAGTGCTGTCTTGTTTCACCATACCACAAATGCTTCACCATAATAAAATGTTTTCTTGCTTCACCATAAATTAAAACGATATCCATCAACTCCGAGTTGCTATACACGCAAGCCATTTTTGACACTAACTACTAAAAAAACTATTGTAAACACTACGCCAACGACAACTGTAAAATTGGATTTCAGTATTTAGAGTCGCTGAGGCCACGTGGCTCTCCACGCGTATTAGGAACGATACTAGAGACCACAGTAATCCAGCTATGTAATGATTGAAAGTACTACAAATTCAATCATTTTTTTCTCGGAAACTATAAGGAGTTTACAAAAAATTTTTTTCGATATTGACTCCATTTCTCATGACGCATCTACTCCCAAATTTTTTTGGATAAGTTGTGAATCACTCTGTATTTTTTTAGGCCAAATAAGCTATCTTTTAGCTAAGCGGCAATATGCCAATATGCTTCGTTCGAGAGATACGTTTTCGAAAATCATCCTGTCAAAACGTTTTTTTTTAATGCGCAGAATTTTATCAGCAAATTGACATATTGACGCTCGACTAAAATATAGCTTATTTGGCCTTGAAAAACATACCCAAATTTGGTGAATATAAAGGTGGGGTTTTTGAGAAAATCTGTTTTGGAAAAAGTTACTTTTTTGCGTTTTTCTCATTTATCTCACAAAATTCTAAAGCAATTTGAATTCTGAAAAAAAAACTGGTAAAAGCTGATGAAATTCTACACATTTTGAAACAAAAAAAACGTTTCGATAGGATGATTTGGGTGAAAATGACGACCACTTGAAAAAAATATGTATTTTCATTTTCGGAAAAACGCTGTCATGTTTAAATTTTGATATGGTGCCACAGAGCTCCAAAAATGTTTTTCAGAAAAACAAAAAAACGGGTTGAATAAAATTCAAATTCGATTTGTTTTGCTACCACTAGAGTTACTTTCTACCTAACGGAATAACTGAAACTATCTTTGGTTTTCACCATATCTTTTTTTTTGTTTTGTAGCTAATAATTTTGCACGAATAATAAATCACACGCACGCAAAATAAGCTAATATTTATTGACATGAAAATTTGACACAAGCCTATTTAGAAAAGAAATAGCAATATCAACGCCTGAAAGAAAATCACCACAAAATACATTGAAGCTTTTAAATGCAAATAACACAGAAACCGATAATGTTAGGCGACCTAGACAAATGTACATTTTTTATGTAGAATTGACTTCCAAGTCGTTAAATTTCTCATATATTTCTAGACTATCATTGCGAATGGCATAATCAAAGATGAAGCACATGTTTTTTAAAATAAGACACAGTCTTGCATTTAGACTTGTTCAGTTGTAAATAACTGTTTTTTAACATCATTTAGTGTTTCTATTAAATATTACCTATATTTACATGATCAGCAACTAATAGATGATATGAATTTGTACTATTAAACATTATGACAAATCATTTATAAATATAATGAAAAAGGCCCTAAATTTTAACCACGCGGCACTCCTTATTTAAGATTTAAATCAAGTTACCTCTATTCAAAAGTCGAATCCTCCTATTGGAATATAGGCCTTTAAACGTTATTTCACGAAACTACATTCTAACATTTTTAATATAACTACAAATTTAGCAATAATATAGTTTAACTAGACTAGAATGCTCCCAGCGGCTTGTTTCTCCACAACCAATTGCAACAGAAAATGAATTTTATTTTTCTCTTGAACAGGCATATGCTTTTCAGTAAATATGTTTTAGGTGAGAAATTGCGTTCATCTTCGGCTATCCCAAAAACTTTCTATAACAAATTTTATTGAATATCTTATCTTCAAAAAAAAAAAAAAATAAATGAACTAAAAAAAAATAAACTTTCTAATGAAGCAAAACTCGGTTTATTTTCATTCAGGGTAACTTAAATTATGGCCTACTCTTCTTGGAATCCTGTATTTTTATTTTATAAATATCTCACAAAACAAAGAAGTTTGGAATATCATTTCAGATCTTGGAAGTAAATGTAAGTCTTCATTTATATTGCAAAATATGTATATTTTAACTTTTAGGAATTGTCTCAAAACACTAAATACGTTTTTTCTCGGGAACGAATAACGTTATCGACTTGAAACAAGTGAATTTCTTGTAAGCTTTTCTAATGGTCAAAAGACTAAAGAAAGATTAAAATACGAATCTATTAAATATTTTGAAAAATTGTAAATAAGTGAATCTTTTTATAAGCTTTTCTAATGGTCTTTAATACGGAACTATTTAATATTTAAAAAAATCGTAAATAAATGATAATTTAAGATTTCTAAACTTTTTTATAATTTGTTTTTCGTCGATGTTTGTTACCAATAATACTAAATTTTAGAAAAAATATCATAGCAACGTTTCCTGCTGTTTTTATGATTTCATTTTTGCTCATAATTTCCGAACGTCCTATACACCGTTGTTATAATAACCCGTAACTGAGACGTCATCTTCTTAGACTATAAAAAAACGGAAATACCTTTTGTGGAAATCACCAGGACTACTTCGTCTGACAATAATTTGTGTTTTCTTTAGCAGCGTCAGAATCCTGGAAAAGAACTGGGCGATGTATGACGCGAAAGATAAACGTTAGACCTGAATCGGGAACAATTTAATCCCATACAGATGGTCAATAATATATATTTAGTCGTAAAATATGAGAAGCTGCATGATATAGAGTGAGAGAAAGGTCTGTCTAGACGGCACTCTCGAATCAACCCTTGAAGATTAATAATTTGTATATCCCTAAGCCCAAAGTAGAGCTTTATTTTTTCTGGAGATTTATATTCTCCGTGATGCCATTTACAAACAAAGAGAACTGTTATTGAATATTTAAGAACGCTTTTATTCTGTACTAAATTATTAGAAGACGGGTTTTCCTTTTAAATTGTAAGATAAAAGAATGTATATATTCCAAAGAAAAATATGTACCTGTAAAAATGTTTATGCATATACAGGCTGGTTCAGGACAAATTGTACATACTGTAAGTTAGGTGAGGTGTTACAGGGTGATCCCTGAATTTTCACTAAAAATTGTTTTGGCTATAACTTGAAACATTTGTGAGGATGAATATATTTTGTACACCATATACCACCAAATAGCTTCCAGAAGCAAGAATACCGACCTTAGGACTGGAACAATTTTGGAACAATAGTGTATTTTCCCTACAATTTCATATACAGTACATGAATCAATGACAAAAACCATGAATTTGATTTTTTGTCAAGTTTTCCTCAACTTTTAAATTAACTATGAATTCTGGTAACACTTTTTTTCAATAATTAAATTTCGGTAAAATTAAAAATTATTAAAACAATAAGATCAAGATTACATTAAAACACAAATCATGTTTCAACCACTGTGATTAGTGTGCCAATATTTAGGAATTTTTCGTTACTAGTACCAGTCCTGCAATGTTGGGTTGTCTAAGGTCGGGGGTCACGTGACGTAAACATCTACGAAACAATAAAAAAACAAATTTTATTGTAATTTTATTAATAAAATTTAAACATTCTGAACCTAAACTATTATTATTATTACTCGCTTTCAAATTTAAATGTCACATGTTTGCTAAAATAACATTAAAATGCCGTTTAAAAATGTTTATTTGATTAACAGAGACCATTGACCAAAATATAACTAAATCATAAGCTGTTGAGAGTGTAACAAAAAATAGAAAAAATAGTTCTTGACACTGGTTCGTTTATTTTCAGTGAATTGTATCAAACAGAAAAAATATACAGGGTGAACTTTCTGAGAACCACAAAAAGTGGGATTTTTAGATTCTGACTTAAAAAATGTGTTGGTCTTCAGTGGCGTATATTGTATACCAGAAATAAATAAATTATAATTCTACTTTGCCAGTTCAAATATCACACTTGATAAAAACATGCTGAAGTAAACATGTGAACAAATAACTTAACCTCACTATTTAATTGTTAGTCAAATTGTATTAGTATTACACTTCCAATGTCCAACT